AGAAAGGGCTATGAAATTAGCTTTAGACTGGGTGAAAAACTTCCAAGACTGGGTGGCCCTGCCTACCTCCGCTCACCATAACTACATGCCAGCAATGATATAATCACAGGACAAAAAATGTTCTTTTGCACTAAGGACAATGACAATTATAAATGTGAAGAAAAAAAGACAAAAGATAGGCAACCACTGGAGATAAGTGCAAGGGAGTCTAAATATATACAAGGGCATTAGCAGTATAGTAACCAATAACATTCTCTTGGTGTGGTGGAGAAGATTTTTCTGCGGAAATCTATGGAAGCTTTCCAATATTAAACCTTAGAATACAGGATTTAATGACAACCAAGCTACAGCTTTACATATTTAACTGAGCAATTTTTTGGTCATGGATTATGGAGGTAAAAATACTTTGAAATTAACTGACCTTAAATCTGACCTCCGAGTCCTCATCAAGAAAGGTTTTCATTTCAAGGCTGTTTTGAAATCCACACGTAACGTGATAAGCAGTCTTGCAAGTTTTTACCTGCATAAAATCGAAGGTCAAAAGAGTATTGAAACAAAACCATTAACAATTTGTGTCTTAATTTCTACTGAGCTGAACGTTTAGACGAGAGGTAATGTTACTACTTATTGTCTGAGGACCCCAGTTAAAATCCGGCCAACGTCGGATTTTAATTGGAGCCAATCGCTCGGCTTCTCCAATAACCTTCGCATGAGCATTCGGCGAGACAGGGACATGGTACTGGCGCCGTATTATGATCACCAGGGGCCCGACCGAATTTCTAATTCCAAATTTAAAATTATGACAAAATAAAAAATAAAAATAACAATTTTATCCAACTGATGCTCTTCCTGTGGAATAGAAATTACAGCACACCGCTGTTCAATCACAGTATGGGCCAAGTGGAATGCATACATCCTTTGAAAAATTGGAGGGACTAATATTTGGTTGTTGCCAAAGATCTTTTAAGATAGCATTCTTGATGGCTTCACACGCAACAAAATAGAAGCATCAAATTACAGTGCGCCCTCTTGCAAAAACAAGTAAGAAATGCCAGCGTTCCATGGAACACACATGTATATTATAATCGCATGAAATTGCTTTCTATTGCTACCTATTCTATTCCATGTAAAGATCAAATATGAGAAGTACTTGTTTTGCGAGAGGGCGCCCTACTAAATCAGTACAATGCGTTATTACAATATTTTGCACACAGAAATCAAAGAGTGCGTTATTTTGTTATTATGATAATATATTTTAAATTGCCAACTTTGCCAACTACAATTTGAATGATGGGGATGTCAATTGCATGTCTATACTGTATAATCCTCCTTTTTGTAACATTCTTAGTTAGAGAGTATGAACAAACAATTTACTTACAGAACACTGTATACAAGCCCCAGTCCTAACACGACACAAGTTGCACACCAAAGCCCACCTACTGGCCTGTAAAAAATGCCAAAAAACAATGAAAGATTTTCAATATGGTTAAGAATGATTTTAAATTTCATATTGATTAAAACTTGACAATATATTTGTTTGTTTAAACAGAGTCTTAGAGCCAAACAATAAAGTGGTCATAGCTACGACCAGGTCAGCTACTAAAAACTTACATGTCTTAAATTTATTGACATTCGTTCAAAATCACTAAGAACATGTGACAAAATTAGACATGCTTGTTTAAGATCTTTAAGAAATTACAAAATACAATATGCACTTGAATAACGACAACCACCTAATTTTGGGCATTATCAAGCACTGAGTAAGATTTTAATTACATAACAGCAACCACAACAACAATAACCACAACAACAAACACAAGAGCCACAAAAACAGCAACAACCCCAACACCCATAACAACCACAATAACCATAACAACCACAATAACCATAACAACCACAATAACCATAACAACCACAACAAGATAATATTTGCCTGGCAGCTATGTTCCTTCATTTGTACATTTCAGTTCACAACAGTTTAGAGAATTTTTCTGTCACCCATTGCAAATGGTATATTCTAATTGTGTCAAGTGGTATATTCAAATTGTGTCAATAACTTCAAATCCTTTGTACAGTATATTCATTGTTTTTGTTAATAACCGATATCCTTCCTTTCTTTGTAATGTTTATATATGCAATATATCTTAATACAATAGAAACCCTCAATTACGAACCCCGATTTAACGAATTCCCGATTTTACGAACGTAAAATCAAGGTAATGACGTCATCAAAAATGAAGAGAAAAATAATAATAAAAAAAAATCCGCTCGAATTGTAATTGTTATTAGCATGCATACAACACAACATACCACACTATACAGTACTATGTAATTCTCAAGTGAAGGAGGCCCTCTAACGGGCCTCTTCAAATTCAGTGTTTTTTATGTGCATGCGACAGATTTTACTTCTCTTTCAGACATCGTTTTCAGCTTTAAAAGTCAACATAGTGCTTGATTGTTTTGATCAATGATCAATATATATATAATAAACAAGTATCTATGGAAGTTGTAAAATCCACAATCTAGGTATTTAAGAAGGTAAAAATGTCCGATAAAAACAAATTTGTATAGGGCCTAGAGTGGGATCAGAATGCTTAGAAGCTGCCTACTGTAGGCCTAGGCCCCCTCAGACTTAGCTGCGTAGATCTGTGGGCCTAGCCTAGGCCTAGTTTATGCCAGTCTAAGTAGTACCAGTGCAAATATATAGGAATTTGGGTCAACCCCGATTTTACGAATACCCGCAATTACGAACTCCTATGGGCCCGTGCCGTACGTAAATGAGGGGTTGTACTGTAATTTAAAAAATGTTCAATTTAATAATGTTTATACTGTAATTAATTATTCACTTGTATAGTATTTTTTATATTTTTATATATGTATTCAAGACATCCTGTAATTGGCTTTACCAATTGGTTGGATGATGTTTGAAATAAAATTTTTAAAAAATGTCTTAAAATGAAAGGTTTTTTTTTTCTTACCGGTATTTGCGAAATTTTTGTAACTGGTTCCATCCTATCGACACATCCAATGGAAACCTCTGGTACCCATAATGCACAGCTGACATGAGACCACTTGGTACCACTCCTAAGATGGAATGATCAAAATGAATCATAAATATTCATGGGAAACATACTACAGTTCCACTTCCAATTCAAAACCCCTCTAATTCCGAGACCCTTTTAATTAATAACAAAATAACAATCTTTAATCGTATAACACAAAGTTAACCCTGAAATTGGAGACCGAAACCAGAATCCACCCAAAATTTTCAGTTACCACAAGTGGTCTCGAATTTGAGAGCAAACTATATCTTTTTATGTAGTGGAGACTCCAGTAGACAAGTGATTTTAAGTTATGCTATTAACAGTTTATATTTTCCATTTTCACATCTTCATGTACAGTGAGGGAATAGGTGGAGTAACACAGAATAAACTTAAATAAAATATTAACTTTTTGATAATATACAGTACCTGGTGCTTTTCATAACCCCTCCTTTCTTGCCACACAGGAGGCAGGCCGGTTGGATGCCGAGGGCACAGGTGCGGCACATCCATGTTCCTTCTGGCACGTTGATAATTCCGTAGCAAGCCTAGAAACAAAAAAAAAGAACACTTAATAAACTCTCGTTACATCTATCAGGTTATCTGCGTCTGAAGTTGACGCCTACATATTTTCAAAATGCTATGATATCTAAGATTGTATTTTATATTATTATAAGGAGAAAAAAAGCTTGGTGGTTAAGATGGTTGCCCTCCAATCCCACAATCGTGGGTTTGATTCCTGTCATTGTAACTGGATTTTTTTTTCTCACGACCAATACAACTCCACTCCCTAAGCTACATAAAGAGACTTAAGATTGGTTTCCATACAATCGCTACACACTATACGGTGATGCCAATTGGCCGGTCAAATTCGGGAGCCCTGCTGATTGCGTTGCGGACTGCTACCTAGTACTATTGCACTTAAAACACGGTAGTGACAGTGAAGTGATTTTTAGGAAACCAGACTTTAGCCTATGTTGAGCATCTTGTGTGTATGTTGGTCTTGTGAATGGATTGCCAGTTAGGAATGTGATTAACACGTTTGCTGCCAGCGCCAAGTATGCCCGTGCCACTGGGTGTTGCTAAGGGTGCCGGGGACGAGTATACTCCTCAAAATCGGGATAACATTTAGCATTTATAACTTCTTTGCTATACATCGTAGAACCAGGCAAGATCGTAGAACCGGGGAAGATACACCTAGATGACAACGTACATATGATGTATGTATGTTTGTTGTGTTATGTTGCCGGCAGTACACTCGAGCGGCACAAGTGGGGGCGCCCTTTGAACATATACCAACCCATGCAAAAAGTGGATGAGATAACTTGCACTTGGCATAGTCAATAAAAAGTGCTGCTAGTGATGATATATGACTAGATAAAATTTCAAAAAAGTATGTTTGTACATGTAAACTTGTTTTGGCACACGGGAAGGAACATTAAAAAAGGTCTGTCAGTCAACGTGTTAAGCACATTGTTTGTCAGATCCTTGTGCCTAAAAAGAGAAAGAAGAAGTAGTGTTGCTAATTTGCTTGAAAACTAAATAAATAAATTTACCTGGTGAACACAAACATCGCACTTGTCACAGAAAACCATCTCATTGCCTTCCTCACAATCAGGCTGTAAAGCAGAGAAAAAAATATTTAAATCTATGATGATTCATTTCATTTCATTTATTTCGCCTTAACAATACATATCATAACAATACAGTAAAATATTCAGAAAATTCGAAAAGGTAATCCATGTTTCCCCCAAGAGCCGGCAGGATTACCAAAAAGTAAAATTAATTACTGTCTGAGTGGCTCTCCAAGCAATGGGGGAAACATGGACTAGCAGTATAAATACATTATAAAAAAATATAATATTTATATGTGTAAAAACACAAAAATAATTAACAATTAAAATATGTTCTTTACTAATATTATTATTGTTATTTTTATTATTACTATTACTATTATTATTATTATTATTATTATTATTATTATTATTATTATTATTATAACAACAATAATAATAACTACAATAATTTTAATTACAATTACCAGCATAATAATAATTATAAAAATTAAACAATTATGTTAATTGATTTAATTAATAATTTGCAACAGCAGGAAAATAACAGTCTATCAATTATTTTTCAAATATTTTGATGATTATGTTAGTTGATTTAATTAATCAATTATGATTATGTTAATTGATTTAATTATTAATTTGCAACAGCAGGAAAATAAACATCAGTCTATCAATTATTTGTCAAATATTTTGATGATTATGTTAGTTGATTTAATTAATCAATTATGATTATGTTAATTGATTTAATTAATAATTTGCAACAGCAGGAAAATAAACATTCAGTCTATCAATTATTTGTCAAATATTTATTAATATTTCATACTTAATTAATTAAAAACTTTTAAGGCTCATGACATCTATGGTTTTATCACATTATCAATTTATTAGGCCGTGCATTTCACTTTGTGTACCTCAGCACGTCACTTTATGTAGAACGATCCAGTCTACCTAGCTGTATCAATGGGTACCACTAAAATGCTGGGTGTATCCTGTGATGGACTTGGATTTCATACAGGGGGAATAACACTCTCTCATCCGCTTCACACTACAGAAACTGGGGATTAGCTCCAGCCATGAGCCCTAGTGGGTTCCGGAAGAATTCACTTTTATGTTGGAACACCTTAATAGTGTAGTGGTAATCAGTAGGTCTATGGTTTTCAAACCTACTGGGTAACCTGTGTGGGAGAGCGACAACCGTAGATTCCCCTCCCCCCCCCCTCACGGGCACAAGTAAAATTCACCGCTAAGT